ACCAGGGCAGTGGGGCTCGGGCTTTGGCTTTGACTCCCCCACCCAGGGCAGTGAGAATCACGCAGGCTCAGGCGTTGGTCCCCCCCCTGCTGGGGTCGTTTAGTAATTTTTGTTGTCAGAAGGGGATTGCGACGCAATCCAGTTTGATAACCCCTGTGCTAAATCAAGCTTTCTCAGGGCTCATTTGGTACTGTCTGCTCACCCAAGGACAGCCCCTGCTTTCCGGGAAGGTTGGCATGATGCACAGTAGTCTGCTGAGTGTATGTGCCGTAGAGCACCATTGACTTTAATGAAAGATTTCTGGAAAGCCGACAGATCTGTGATATATTCTTGCAGCATAGAGTGGCGACACGGTCTGGTGCTAGCAGGAGCGGCGCCAGGGTTTTTGCCGCCCTAGGCGGTAGCGCTCCTCCTCTGAGCATTCGGCGGCGGGGGTCCTTCCGCTCCGCGTCTTCGGGGCACTTTGGCGGTGGGTCCTTCACTCGCTCCGGGACCCGCCGCCGAAGTGCCCCGAAGACGCGGAGCAAAAGGACCCCCGCCTCCGAATTTCCGCTGAGGATGGCAAAATGCTGCCCCCCAAATCCTGCCGCCCTAGGCGACCGCCTAGGCTCACCTAGTGGAAGCACCGGCCCTGGGTGCTAGGAGTAGAGGACCTACAGGCCGAAGATCCTGATTCTGTTCCCAGATCTGTTACTATAGGGCCTGGGGTATGTCATAGAATCGTAGGACAGGAAGGGACCTCGAGAGGTCATCTAGTCCAGTCCCCTGCACTCATGGCAGGACTAAGTATTATCTAGACCAGCAGTTCTCAAACTGGGGGTTGGGACCCCAAAGTGGGTCATGATCCCATTTTAATGCGGTCGCCAGGATCTGCATTAGATTTCCTGGGCCCAGGACTGAAGCTGAAGCCTGAGGGCCTCCGCACTGGGGCAGTGGAGCTCAGGCTTTGTCCCCTCCCCGCCCCTCACCACCGGGGCCACATAGCAATGTTTTGATCAGAAGGGGTCACAGTGCAATGAAGTTTGAGAAACTCCGCAATAGTATAAATTAACCGTGCAGTGCAGTTTGGAGGTTACTGCTGAAGGATTTGGTCCCATTCTGCTGCGGAATACATAGGGCCCTAGCTAAGGTATTCACCACTTCGTCCTGCTTACCGTTGCACTCTGGGTGGGATGAGCTCTGGGCTGGCACTCCATGACAGTGTAATAGCTCTCTTGTCTTTGTCATCAGCAAGGCTTGCCGGATCTCTATCAAGCGTTCTTAAAACGACAGTACCCACCTGCTGAAGTGAAGAAACAGATTGACAGAGCCAGAAGAATACCCAGAAATCACCTACTACAAGTCAGGCCCAACAAAGAAAGTAACAGAACGCCACTAGCCGTCACCTTCAGCCCCCAACTAAAACCTCTTCAGCGCATCATCAAAGATCTACAACCTATCCTGAAGGACAATCCCTCACTCTCACAGGCCTTGGGAGACAGT